AAAATAGCCCAAGACAGAGAACCCCCCTGATCTCACCAAACATCCCTGCGAAGCCACCAGCTCTCCCTCCCCACAATCTGCGTGCCCTTCCACCACCCCAACTTACTTCAGCCAGCTCCCTGGACCAGTGAATGTCCGTTAAAGCACCCCCATGGGCAGTTTGCAGGAGCAGGGGCAATTTGGTGGGGTCAAAATCCTGGGGGGGTTTGGCTCGATTGGTCATCCCCCTCCCGACTCCCTCTGCAGACCCTTCTGGCACCCTAAATCCCCTTAGCTCCCCTGCATATTCTGCTAGCCCCACAATGCATCAAAGCCCCCCATTCTTCCTCCCCCGACTTAACTTAGCTCAGGCTCTCAGCACCTAATTACAAAGTTAGATCAGGGGCCATTTTTAATGCAATTTTACCCCTCAAACTTCTGGCTGTAATGTCTGTGTGCAGCCTGAATGATCAGCAAGGTAACAGCTCTTGCTTCATCAGATCTCAGAGTTAGGGGGTGCATATACACATGCACTTTAATGTGCAGTAGCCTATTCTATTGCACATTAAAGCAGCACATGAAGCCATGCTAATATACTAATGCACGGTAAAATAGGCTACTGTGCATTAAGCATCACCTAAAAAAGCATGCACTTGCCCCACTTTGCAGTAACCCAGCCTAATATGCATTTATTTATTACTTCATATTAAACTAAATTTTAATGTGCATTGGGAAAAGTGCATTAATGCACATGTAGATGCACCTAAGGTGCTCTGATACCAGAGTTCTGCCTGCCAGGTTTTGGTTATGATCTTGCCTTTGAATATTATTGTGTTGCCTGGACCAATGAGAACTGTTTCCTTTGTGTGACATGAACCGCATCCACTTCTGTTTGTCTTGCCAGTATATGGACGTAGCCTTGAAAGAGACGTCATATCTGATACATCTGGCATGTTCCGAAGGGTGCTGGTGTCTCTACTAACTGTGAGTGCCGCCTAAGAAAACATTATTTTTGGTTGCTAATTTGCTTCCCATCTACCTTATTTTCTAAGGTACAGTAAACTAACCACACCAATGCTCCCCTTTCTTAAATTAATATGTCAGGAGTAGCACCACCAAAGTCATTAAAGTTATACTGGTATGAAGGAGAATCAGGTAGACAGTATTAAACAGCAGTGCTGATCTTCCCTTCCATTTGTGCATTTCTCTCACTCCCTGCTTTACCATGTGCTCTTTTTACCCTGTGTCTCCATGCTTGGGATAGCATCCCCAAGTATCATTTTCTCTCCTATTGCAATGGCTTCCTCCACAGGTCTGCCTCAGGCCTGTCTAGATGCCACCTTCCATGTCATTTGTTTGGCCTCATTTGCAATGCCTCTTGGAAGATGGAATCTGTTTGGGGGGTTCACATGGAGGGGTGCAAAAAATACCAGATGCTTAAATAATATTCTATAGCCCCTTCCTTTTTTTCCTTGGTAATAGTTCAGCTGCCTTTTAAGTTTATTGACCATGAGAGGATACATTTAGAACAGCTTTTACTGAACTCAGATCTGGGAAGCACTCTAAAAGGCTGGTTCAAATGCAGGATTTTTACATTTTTGCAGGGAAACAGAGACATAGGATGTGAAGTGGATGACTTCCTTGCTGAGCAAGATGCCCAGGTCTGTAGTAATCTGGATTTTTCTTAGAGGATATGGTTCCTCCTTCTGGTATTTGCTGAGCTCATAGTCTTTCTGGACATTAGTTTTACCTAGAACATATCCAGAGCAGTCAGCTGTGCAGGGCACTGGTATGGGATGTGAGAGAGCTGGGTTTTCCTGGGCAAGGAACATGACCTCTCTCCCTTACCTTCCACATTATGCTATGATCTTGCTGCTTTCTAGTGCCTCTACCATGCCGGGGAGAAGAAGTTTGGAACCGATGAGGAACAATTCCTATCTATCCTCTGTACAAGGAACAGAACTCACCTAATAAGAGGTAATACAAATCTTAGCAGTTTGTTATATTTTTTCCCAAAAGATATCTTTTTAGGTACATAGAAATCTCTTGGATAAATAGACACAGACCTTTCCCAAAGTGCAGCTGAGACCCAGTTCCAAGGGGACATGTCTGCTTCAAACCATTTTCATTCAGTACCTGCCCTTCTGAGCCCAAAAGAAACTGCTGAAAGAGGAGATCTGCACCTGTCAAAATAACTTGCATGCTAGGCTTTAAGCCAGAGATAGATAAGGCTCTGGTAGCCACAGTTAGCAAGCAACAGAGTGTAGGAGCAAGTTTCTTGGCAAAATTCTTCTTCAGAGACCCAAGTACAAGCCCTCATCAGTTAACTTAGATGTTTTCCAACTGCATCCTGTATGAACTTGATAATGGCTCCTGTAGAGCTGGTGGACTCTAAGTGCTGATGGGAATAAAGCTCCCTCTTGTGGCAGAATGTGATCCCAAAAGGGAAAAATAAGGACTTGTCATCGAGAAAATGAATCCTGATTTGAGGTAGGATGTGAGCTAAAAGAGAGATGAGCTCTGGGAGGACTTCTTAAATGGATGCTCTTTATTCTGGAGTAAGATTCCACTATAGCTGCGCAGAAAGAAGAAGCTGAATGGTACCAGTTATCTTTACTCTGTGCTCACTTGTCTGTGTGTGGTGCTGAGCTGTAATGATGCTTCATCAGCCACTACAGTAACAACAGACTGTGCCTCTACTCTTCAGTTTCTCTCTGTTTGCTGAGAAATGTGCAGTAGCCTGTTAGCAGAAATTCTGAAGAGATGTCCCAAATGGGGCCATCTTCACTTGTGCACTACTTGTACTATTGCAGGTAGCAGTACCCTTTTCATTCCTTATTCCATATTTCTGCTATTTGGAATAGCATCCACACATGCCTGCATTGCAAGCTGTTTAGTTTGGATTGGATGGGCTGCTTTATTTATTTATTTATTTTGGACTCCATTCCTTTATAGATGGACTATTAACTTACTTGGCAAAGGAATTGAGACAATTCAGTCCTTTACTGATTTAGGACTATTCACATAGTGAGTTAAGGTGGAATAATAGTTCTGGAAGGCTGTGAACAAGTCCTAAGCAACCCCTGTCACCATTCATAATTCACAGCAGTATTTCCAGCTGTTATTGATCAGCCAATTCTCAAAGATTATATACCCAACATTAAGATCAAATGAATTAATTTTCATACTATTATCTCCAGTGGAGTTTTCAAACTAAATAAAGTGAAGTGTACACTAGGTATTCATCTTGGTATTCTGGCAAACTAATCCTTGGGGGTTAAGTTTTTTGTATACTGCATTTGAAAGTCTCACTCAGTGGTTTTCCACTTGTCCTTTTGTCCTTTCTTTTTCCAGTCTTTGATGAATACCAAAGGGTCACAGATAAGGATATCATAGACAGCATTAAATCTGAGATGTCAGGTGATCTTGAAAATGTCTTTGTAGCTGTGGGTAAGTCTCCTATTTTTACCTTGGGGATTATATACTTAGTTGACTAATTAACAAGTATAATGGGAAAAGAACTACTAGTACCCTCAAACTGAAGTGCAGTTGATTCAAAATCCTTTTCCTTTTACACTGTAGAGGACACAAGCATCTTATCTAAAGAAAAAATATTGAACTTGTTTCACTCCAGCTAAGGCGGGCATCCATTCCTAAAAATGTTGTGTCCTTTAGCCTGCCCACCCTCTTAGTATTTCCACTACCCACACCTCCGCTATTTGTGGACATCCACTGTCTCTTCCTGGTATAGGTCACTCAGTTTGATTCTTTGCAGCTATAGCAAGTGGCCTTAGAAGTCCTACAGCTTCCATTTTATTATTTCATTTCTTTTGCTATCTGATACTTGTTGGCTGAGACTTGCCACAAAGGAACATTTCAAATATTAAGCAATTTATACACAGAGGCCCAAAACCTCCATTTAAAGTAGGCTAACCAGAAAGTTAAACACAGGGATTATGCACTGAACCTACTTTGTTTGGCAAATGGCCTTGAAACTCCACCCTAGACCTTCACTCTGATTATAGCCAGAGATGTGCATGTTTTGCCTCAGATCCTAGAAAAAGACGGACAAACAAAGCTTTGCACCTCTCATTGGCTTGCCACATAGATTGGTTTGAAGCAATAACTTGTAATTATCACCAAAGGCTGCCTTAACTTAAGAGTTAAAAAAATTCCCTACTCCCTCTTTGTTTCAAACGCATTTCTTTTTCTTGTCTTTTCACAGTGAAATGTGTAAGAAATACACCTGCGTATTTTGCAGAAAGATTATATAAATCCATGAAGGTAAAAAGTTTTTATGTGCAAATTGTTTATTTCAATCAAACTGGAAGGCAGTGAATAGTAGCTGAATGAACAATGCGTGAAATTAAGATCTAGAGGATTGACTTGTCTACAGAGCACAGTTTTCATAGAAAATGAGGGTTGGAAGGGACCGCCGGGGGTCATCTAGTTCAACCCCCTGCTCAAAACAGGACCATCACCTACTAGATCATCCCAGCCAGGGCTTTGTCGAGCTGGGTCTTAACCTCCAAGGATAAAGATTCCATCATCTCTCTAGGAAACCCGTTCTGGAGCTTCACCAACCTACTACTGAGAGAGATTCTCCTGATATCCAACGTAAACCTCCCTTGCTGCAACTTGAGACCATTGCTCCTTGTTCTGTCATCTGCCACTACTGAGAACAGTATAGCTTCATCCTCTTTGGAACCACCCTTCAGGTAGTTAAAAGCTGCTATCAGGTAGTTGATAGCAGCCTTTAACTACCTGAAGGGAGCTTCCAAAGAGGATGAGGCTAGACCAGGGGCAGGCAATTATTTTAGGCAGAGGGCCACTTACTGAGTTTTGGCAAGCCATCGAGGCCCGCATGACAGGCAGCCCAGGGCAGATTAATATTAATTTTCTACATTTTTTTTAGGGGTCCCGCAGGCTGGATAAAATGGCTTGGCGGGCCACATCCGGCCCGCAGGTCGCATTTTGCCCACCCCTGAGCTAGACTGTTCTCAGTTTTGGTACGAGGGTTGTCTGTTTCCTTAGGGTTTGGGGACCGATGATGACACGCTGATTCGAGTGATGGTGTCCCGCTGTGAAATTGATATGTTGTCCATCAGGCATGAATTCAAGTGTATGTATGGGAAATCTCTCTACTCCTTCATCAAGGTAAGCTTTTCCCTCGCTAGAAACCTATGGCTGGAATTAGCAAAGGGGCCTTGAGAACATAAGCACCCAAATTCTTTTGCCACCATTGCAAGAGCCTGACCTAAATATGTTCAGATGATAAAAATAAACTAAAACCTTGATGGGCTAGCATTGGTTTAATAGCAGATCTCCTGCACCCTAAATGTGTTTCTAAAAACAACTGATTTGAGTTATGCTTTTGTGTATTGAAAAATGAGGATGCAGGTGAAAGACTGGCCTTGATTCACTTCCTGCTTCTAGCTCTAAACTGTAAACCAGCTTGTTGACCAGCAAAAGATACTCTCTTTAATCAATGTGACCAGCTTGACTTCCCCCCCACCCCCCCAACTCCCAAGATCAACAATTTCTCATACTCTCTAGAACACTGAGGCAGCCTGTAAAAACTTAGTCATAACCAGACAGATTATCACTTACCATAAAATTCCTTTTACATTAAGATCATATAAATGAGCCTTATGTGAATATAGGTAAAGCCCCTTCAAACTGCCAGCCCTGAAGGAGAGAGACTAGTTTACTGAGTACAGCTACACTGCAAGTGTCTTGGTTTAACATGAGTGCTTATGGCAAACTATGTGTTTGAATTTGGGGCTGGCATCAGAGTTCGTAGGAGGTAGACTGCTTCCTGTATACAGTAGTATTACCTTCTGTCTAGTACAGTCTTCCTGTACACTTGAGCTGGCCATGTTGACCCTCTGTTTGGACTGAAGCTGTATTTATAAATTTCAAACAAGAAGTCTCATTCCCTTTTTGTAAAATGGAGCCCCTAAATGGCATCAACCTCAGTTGGTTACCAAAGACCTGCAAGTTCTCTTGGGGACAGCTTCTACAACAGGGGTGGGCAAAATGTGACCCGCGGGCCAGATGCAGCCCACAGGGCCATTCTATCCGGCCCGCCGGGTCCGTAAAAAAACTTTAGAAAATTAATATTTATCCGTCCCTGGCTGCCTCTCATGTGGCCCATGATGGCTTGCCAAAACTCAGTAAGCAGCCCTCTGCCCAAAATAATTACCTGCCCCTGTTCTACAATGATCTTGGTAGGCTGTAAATGATGCCATATAACCTTAGCTTTAGTTGGAAGCCTCATGATGTGTTCTCTTTTTTTTTTTTTTTTTTTTCAGGGAGATACTTCAGGACACTACAGGAAAGTCCTCCTCTGTCTTTGTGGTGGGGAAGACTAAACTATGCACAGCTTGTGGCTGTGGCTGAGAAACAGCTCACGAGAGGATCTCTCTCTCTCTCTTCCGCCCCCCCGCTTCAAATAGCTTCAGACCTGCTCTGCATGCATATATTGTACTGGTATAACTAGAACCGTTTCTAGATTGAGGTTTTGAACAAATCATTTAGGCTCTGGGTTTCTGCCCTGAAATGGTAGATCTGGTTGGCTGTTGGCTTTCCTGTCTTGCAAGCACTATGAAACTCTGTTGCTCTACAAGAGGAAATGTACTGACTATTGCTGCCAAACAGGAGCATTCTGGCTTTTCTTGTTTAAAGAAAAAAAGAAGCATAAACTTGCTGTCTGCTACTCAGTTTGTCAGTGTAATAATTTCTCTATTTTTATTTATGAAAGATGTGTTCACTCAGCAATGCAAGAGAAGCACATCCCCATGTTCTATATATCCTTACCTTGTTGTTTTCCTCCCCCTTCCCCTACCTCTGCATTACCTTTCTCCACTGTATGGCCCTAATTTTAAGCAATTCCAATAGGCTAAAAATTCACCTGACCTTTTTATAGAGAGGAAAGGAAAGAAACAATGCAGCCAGTACTGTACAAAACTGAAATGAAGAATGGATGTAATAAGCGATCTAGAATCTTGCAACAGCTTGAGAGATGGGGAAGCTTGGCTTTGGTCCACCTCCTTGGGAAGAGATTTGCACGGCATGTTCTGAGCTGTGCTCTCTGTAGGCCCACCTTAGCTAAGTCACAAAGTATGGATTTTGGAGTTAATAATGCTCTTGGAGACAGCAGGCATCAATCCTCTTGGTAAGGACTGAGCCTGTGCCTTAACTTTTAACAACCATTCTTAGCATCTTTGCTTTCTCACAAGGAGAGGGGCTTATGTCCCAACATGAAGAATAAGCAGCA